GCCGCCCGTGCCGCCGCCGCCGCCGGAGTAGTCTCATACTTAACCAATAGCTTAAATATTTAATGTACCTGTCTAATGGTACAAATACAGTAGTTTTATATTATTCTCAGCAAAGGCCAAGTTCTCACTAATTAACTACAAGTGACTAAGTCTATCCTATCGTCGATTCGGTCTGAACAAATATTATTCGAGGCTAAAACCGTTTAGTGTGTAAACACCTTAACTGCTTCCATTTGTGCAATCCGATATTAATATTGACTAAGGTGGTTAAATTTTACACTGAAATCGCTTCTAAAGACTGTTTTAATAGTTTTCTTTATTGGACTTTTACATAAAATTACACAGGGATAAGAAAAAAAATTACAAGAAAGTATTTAAAAAATCATTAAGAGCTCGGCTCAAGTTTGTAAAATTTTATTGTCTTATATACATATTGACTAAATGTTATTTTTATACGCGTTGTATAGCGGTCTTAATAGAGAGTATCGTGTTTAGTATCACCACGTTTTTCTATGTAGATATACATATATTTACCATTGTTGTAATATTCTAATATTAAATCTATATTATAATTAAATCAGTCATATTTGAAAAATGTAAAGTTGGTTCCTGTCTTTTGTTATAAAAGTTGGAAATTGTATATAAAATATATAAGAAATACATATAGCATTTACATGACTTATTAAAGTTGCTTCATATCTCGATTAAAATGTCGCGGTGTTATTTAATATTAGAGCTATGAAACCGTCTTACTAATGTACAAATTCTTAATGTATATAAGTGTCTATTTATTAAGCTTTAGTCGTCCATTATTTAATTTAGAATTCGCGTACATTCCATTTATTTTTTCTTTAAATAATAACATGACCAAATAATTCTAACATAAACACTTCAACTTTCTACTAAATTTTCTTAATTTTCAAAGTCTTCGAAATATTAATAAACAACATCTGAAACAGGAAATACTTAATAATAAAGATTTTTCCAATTTCTGAACTTCAGTCCTAAAATGCCATTTATTTTAAAATTTACTTTAATATCGAGTTTTTAAAGTTTCATAGTTTCCATTAATACATTGTCATATAAAATACATGAATTAAATATAAATACATCTATTCTGAAATTTCTATTAGTATATCATTATTATATTAAGATATCAGAACATATTTATATATCGGAATATACACTATTATGTATAGAACTATTTTGTAATCAAAATTTATATAATGCGGCTTTCATAGAGCGGGAATTTTATCTGAAAATATATGAATAGGTATATTATTTTTATTTTAACATACATGTGAGTTATAAAATTTAAAAAAATGCACTATTTATATTTTGAAATCAATATAAATGCAAATATTTAATTAAATCTATATAACATTTAAAAATGTAAGCAGTCAAGAATATATCGACGGGTGACAGGCTATTTGTTTTAACTGCCATTTTACGCGATATTGACTCATATTCAGAATTTTAAATATGAAATAAATAATGAAGTATGCAGAATTATAGTAATTGTAATATAGAACCGGTCTGAAAATCTTTCAATTGAAATTATTTCCAGGATTTGCATTTTTTTTTTTCTAAAAATGAAGACTGGCTGTCCTGAATATTTAACCTAATGGCGCTTAAAACATAGACTTTCACCCAACGACATGATCTTTTGTTGATTTTTTTTTGCGAAAATGCGGAATTAATGTTTTATAATTGTTTAAGTTCATCAAAAAACCACTGAACACATTACCATATCAGCTTTAATTTATAAATAGACTCATTTTTAAGACTCGTATCGCTTAAGTTGTTGCTTGCTCAAAGGTGTAGTAAAAAATGTATACAGGGTGTTGTGATGTGTGTTCCTTATTATTGGGCTGATTATAAATTAATCGTCTGTTGTCGTTTGCAATGTGCTTGTGATGTAGGTGATTTAGTTATGGATTTAAATACATAGATAGGTGTTAGCACAGTGGAAAATGGACTTCCAAAAAATTAAAAAAAAAACTGTCGACTTATTTTTTTACTATTTTTTTATTGGTAAATTATGGTGTTATTGAAATATGTATAGGTAAATCCGATTTTAACCAATGAATAATAAAACAATGTGGTGGCATGTTGTGTTAAAACACAAGATTGACGTCTATTTTGATCAAAGGCGGTCTAAGAGTTAATAACCGCCTTACAAATGAACGCAGTATAAAGTTAAACTTGGGAATAAACTGAGTATAAGCCAATATTAGTATAAATTTTGCTTGTACTCTTTGTAAGTGTTTAACTAAACAGTGTCTAAATATAACTTAGGGTACAATGTGTTTTGTTGAAACTTAACATCGATCTATGTATTTAAATATATTTGGCACCGAATGTAGACGTGAGTAAATCATAATGTAAATACTATATTCACTTTGTAAAACGTAATTTTACAATGGTGCCATTTTTGTTACCATTTTACTCTATAGTGTAAATTGCAAATAGGCACTAGTTATTTTTAGATATATTTACCTAGAAAAAGTACTTAATGTATTAGAGGATGTTATATTAACATATTCCTGTTTTTCAATAGTTTAAGTAGATGATGTATTTTTTTATGTAAATTGTGTAATTGTAATAATTGAGATTATTGTGTGAGTTGTGTACATAACAGAACAATTTCTATAGTTTTATTTTTTTAAAATTTTTAGTACAGTTTTTTTTTCTAAATTAAATGTTACCCATTTTGTGTTGATATTAGTTATTTCGTTTGAAAACCAATTTCCTCAATTTGTAATTTTTTTCATTTAAAAAGTACATCCTGTTTTACTTTGAACTCGTGTAAAATTTTTCTTTCTATTTTTTTCAATTACAGTAGCTTTGATTTTTTAATAACAAAAAAATATGGTCACACATTTTTTTCATGCAAATTTAATGCAACATTTTTGAAAACTTTGTACCTTTGTGAATGGAGGATATGAGAATATTAGAAAAGTCTGGTTTCATTGTAGTTATGTAGTATTTTTCATATAACCGTGAATTTCCACTACCAAAAAAAAGTATGATTTTGTAGAAGGGATATTTTTTAGAATAGTTATTCGGCAGTGTGAATCCGCGGTTTGTTTCTTACCCTTGTACACAAATTTACAGGAATTTGTCCTAGAATGAACTTGACTATACATTTTTTTTTAAATAATTAGTTGATAGTATAAATTGTTATAATAAAATCTATAAATTTATAAACATTTTTTTTCTTCCATATACTTTAATATAGACTATATTTCTGTGTAAAATATATGAAATGCTTTTAATGTACATTGTTTAGTAAACTGAGATTATAAAAGGTGATACACCGATTTCAGTTAGATGATGCTTTAGTAAGAAATTATGGTATTTTTTTTGAGTTTTTGCATGTGTGAACGTGGCTTTATCATTACTGTTTAACATGGTCTGTGTACATCCCTGATTTTTTATACATTTGCTACTGTTTAGCTGTTATGTTTCACGAGAAACATGGTGTTTTTATTTTGTATGTTGCCAGTATTTTATTTGATATAATTGTGTATATTCCAACAGCTAAATGATAGCTTGCGCGCAGCTGTGTATATCGTGACCTTTGGGGCTAGACTACTTTTAAAGCGACTTAAAAAAAAAAACAAAATCTAACATTCAAATTCGGAATGGGCGGTTTAATCCAATCACATTCACTTTAATCGCTGGGAGTTCGCTTGGCAATGGTGGCGGGTTAACTTTGCAGTTCGGATTGATTTAAAAAAAATCCTAATTTGAACCAACCAATCTGAGCTGTGAATGTAAATAAAGAACGCGTGGCGGTGGTTAACTTTTTAAATTTGTGAATGGCCAGTAGTTTTATTATTTTTTATGTTTAAAAAATGTATTTTTTTTTGTTAATGGCCAGTAGCTTCGGTCTGTATATTAAAAAAAAAAACAAAGCCCCCGCCTTGCGTGAGTAATTCCAGCCTCATTGGGAACGACGACACACGGCTGCGCGCTCACACGTCGCTCGTATTGCAGGTGGTCGAGCCAGCGCTGGGGAACGGGCACGCGGGCAAGTGACGCCCCGCCCCGCACTCCCCCCGCCGCCGTAGCGCTACGTGTGTCGCCGTTCCTCCACAACAACTTACGGACCTCACTAGTGTAGTGTAATCTATTTTTTTTCCTCACATTTTTTTCTTTCCTTCGTCAAACGGACGGTTTTGGCTCGCTTGTTATGTCCATAGAGGTATTATAGATTATATCGAAATTAAGATGCTTGCTTAAAAGTATGAGAGAATGGATATAGTCAATATTTTGTGTATTATTAGATTATGATAGTATATTCGATCTGTAACATCTCTATGGGTGGTTAGTGCACCCTTACGGAGGCTTTGGGTTCTCTGTTGTGTCATATCAGGGTTTGACTGAGCGTGGCTAGGAGAGGGGGGACTTATATCAACGTTTAAGCAATATTTATTACTAATTAATATAGAAACTAATTTATAAGTGATTTAAAATCGAAGCATGTTTTTTCTAGCTATTTTTATGCTAATAAATCACTTCGATTTTATAATCTTCGTTCCCCTCTCTAAATCAATACGATCCTAGTCAAGCTTATAGTTTTGAATTATGTGTTTTTTTTTCACAAATAGTAAAGGCTGTGTCACAATGTAAAGATTCTAAAAAAACAATTATTTGACCCCCAATGGCTTCATAAACCATGCTTTTGTAAACCACTAACATTTTTTCTTTTTACATTTTAAAAATATAGACGTCAAGAAATAAGATTAAACCGATTTGATAATATTTAAATGTCATAATAATGGAACATTTTGTAAATATACGTTCGAAATTTATTGCTAATCAATGTAAATAAAAAAATAAAAAAAATCAAATTTGGCTTGAAATGTATTGGGCATTTATATCAAATGTTACACATTTAGACCTTAATGATTAATTTACTATCTTCAACCGTTGAATATGGTAATTCAAATTATATAGCACGTATCCTGACAATAAAATGTAAAAAAAATCAAATATACGCCCTTTATAATTAGTGAAAAAAAATCCTTATGGATATGAAGGTTTCACCTTTTTTTTTAAATTACAGTATGTATTAGCAGACTTATTTGTGAATTTATAACAAAATCTTCAAAATATATACTCGAAATACCAAATTTTACGTTAAACAGTACAAATTTAGTTATAGACTTGTAATTTCAATGCCGTTATTTCATGTGATATATAAATATTCTAAATATATAAAGGCTTTTGACCATTCATGTAACATAACCTATAATATAATAGATATTCAGAAACAAAGCTAAAAAAAATATAAAAAAACTTGTTTCTACGAAATGTTTGATAGTGTGGGTGGAATAGCTTTTTTCTATGTCTTATATACAGTAACTAAACCGTTTACATACTTGCCTAGCACCAAATTTTATACTAATTAGCTTGCAGACTGATTACATTGTTAACACGATATCCCTTTATTCATAAGTAAGTTTTATTTAGCACCAACAATAAACCGACTTAAAAATAAGTTTATGTATAAATTGTTAATATTCTTAAGGTAAATATCGAGCCAAAATCGTACCGTACGGAATAAACTAGCAACATTTTAAAAATGTTTTGGTATTTAATTTAGTCACTGACTGGCAACACTAAAGTGCTTAAGCTATGACTATATTATATCAAGCGTAACATACTAATCTGTGGAAAAGTCAATTTTTTGACGAAAACAAATTATATCGCTAAGAATATGAACTGTATTAGTTAGAGATTTTGTTTAGAATACAAATAGGAGTTTTGTAGGTTAAATATTGATTTATGGTCTATCAATTCTTAGAGTATCATGGGCGATTAAAAAAAATATGTTTAAAAAAATAAAAAAATTGCTCTTCGATTCTCTATTTTGATGGCCACTCGCATTTGTATGGATTATGTTATCTGTGGTTTTTGGGCGCGTTAGGATAATAGTATGTTTCAGAAATCCTTTCGCGCCAAAAGTGTATAAACGAAATGATTGTATTTTTAATCTGTAGTTATACTTTTTTTTTAGTAGCTTCAATATAATTTTTAATTAAAAAAATAGTTAATTTCAGTGACAATTCTGACTACAAATGGCAATTTGTAACTAATTTATTGATAAAAAAAATTGGTTTTGTCATTGTTTGTGTCAGTTTGAAGATATTTATTTAATAATGAACGCTAAGTAATAATGAATTTTAACACACGTGATTTAGATTTTTTTGTCGATAGTGTTCTAATTTTTTTTTTTAATTCTAATCATACATAAGTGTTAACGGGACTACACCTTAGTATTGTTTATTACAATTTGTCGGGAAAAAATTCTAACTTAGTGACCGATTCTTATGATTCATGACGACTAGTTAGGTGTTTAAAAAAATAATAAAAAAAATAGCAGTAAAAAATGTTAAGTGATCGATGAACAAATTTAATGTGTAATTTGATGGATGGCGAAATTGTAAGAATCAAAAATATTCTCTGTGGTGAAAAAAATGCGTAGTTTTTTCTTTTTAAGTTTTTTTTTAAATAGGTTGTCCGGTAGGAGTTCGTTACTTTTTGTTATTTAGGTTAGGTTAAGATTGTATATATTTTGTAAAAAGATTTAAAACATTAGCTAAATTCCTCATGTTTTTTAAAACTTCCTTTATAATCTTTTTTAACGGATAACTTTAAAAGGTGGCAGAAAAAGTGGTTTTTTGCCGTCATTTTTCAGAACGTAGTCAGTGTAACAGAACGGTGTATGTCGGCCAAGTTTCTTAATTCAATTGTGATATGTGAATTCAATGTCAGGTGTAAAAAGGTTGTATGTCAAAAATATATTTCTAAAAAAAAAATTTTTTTACCGGTTTTAAGCGATTTTTTGTTTCAAAACATTGGATTTAGTAGGTCTTTTTTGCTTTCGATATAAAAATTCACATATTTTTAGTAACATTCACATTTTTTAAAATTTACTTGCCCACCCTATACTTTTCCTTGTTCTACACGATTTTATATGTTGATAATCAACATTTAATATTTGTTACAACTTTTGCATAAAAATTACAATAATCTAAATTAAAATAGTAATTAACGAATTAATATGCATTTATCGCGAGTATTATAAAAAATATATTTTACAAGTTTCTATATATGCATCGAAGTCATATTCTTCAATACCGAATTTATATATTTGCTTATCTTTTAAAAAAATGTCTTGTATGTAGAATTAAAAATATTTAAAACCCTTTTAATTGAAATTACAATATTAAAATAAGATAACGAAATGGCAACCTTAAAACCTAGATTTTAGTCTATTAGTTAGACTATTTTTTATATTATTTTTATAGCGACTAGCTATCTCTCGCGACTTTGTCCACGTGAAACTAAAAATTGTAAAAAACATAGCCTGTCATTCAGCGATAACGTAGCTTTTTAATAGTGAAAGAATGTTTGATATCAGTCCATTAGTTTGTAACTTATTTCAATACATACAAAAATTCAAGTCTTTCCTCTTTATAATATGGACTTACAGAAATTCACTGCGTGGTTATATTGTTTTTTTTTTCTACATGCAAGATATGAGTTTGGATTAGTATGTAAAAGTGTTCTGACTTGAGAGTAAATAATTCGAGATGAAAATGACTAGTATAGGAATATAAACGAGCTTTGCAGGCTTCGTCTAGAGTAGGAGGTTTGTTATGTAATCCTGAATGCATATAAGAAAACTGTCCCCATTTTAAAATTTACCCCGTTATATACACTTATCGAGTTACTGCCACTTTGAATACCCAAAGCTGAATTGGTTGGAGAAAATTAGTCGGTTACTACCGAAGCCATCTCTAGCTAAGCTATTTCTACTGAAGCCATTTAAAAACAGACCTTTCGGTCATGGTAGACCTTTCAAGATTTTTCACTAAATATGCGCTGAAGGCTGGCTTTAGGAACTCTGAAGGCTAAATTGAATCAATGTGGCAGTTACGAGATCAATTTTCTATACGGGAATTTGATGAGTCTTGTCCTATTTTCGAAAAGTTAGGCTTGATAAGGTTTCTAAGTGACCAAATTACCATACGTACGAATATGGTATCCCTATATATTTTATTAAAATTTAAAGTGAATTTATCTAAAATTTTTCTGTTAACTACTTAAAACATTAAAGTTAGCTTTTTATGTTAGTTTTACTTAAATACACCGCAAGTTGTTACAACTTAGTTTCGGTGGAGTGTGATTAATTTTTTGTCTATACAATTAAGTAGGAAATTTTTAAATCTTATTCAGGTTGTCTTCGCACTGAGTTTCGACAATTTATAGTAACAATGTTTTATAATTTACGTTAAAACTATTTAAGACGTAGAAAAGATATGGTTTTTTCAGTTCCAAATATGAAAGTGATCGCATATGTAAAGTAAGGCCTAATGTTGTATATTTAATTATCGACCACATAGTCTTGACAAATATCTACTGGAAATTATTAAGAAATATATATTAGGTATGAAGAAATCATTTAAAGTTATGAAGTTACGGAGTGTTGGGACGGCTTTACTGACAAACTTTATGTCTGCTCGCAATTCTCAATCAACAGAGCCCACCGAGCTGTTATAAAGTTTGAATAGTATAATACATAGTGTGCTCAAGCCTTGCGTATATCGGATGCCCGCCAGCCAGCCTTGGCCCGTTTGCGAAGAAATTCCCAAAGATATTCGTTCTGAATTTATTTTTCTAGAAAATCAGCGGGGAGAATGTTGACTTGTTGTAAATATAGTTTGTAATGAAATAAAAGCATTCTTTCTGATGTTTGTGTTTTAATTGAAATCTATTTTAATTTACTCAAAAATATTACGAACTTTGATCATTTCAACTGCAAAATTATAATTGTGAGAACTGTGAGTCTGTGACGAGGAATTACTTGATTTTAGAACCAAAATATTTAAAAGTTCGTGTACTTTTTATGGCAACACCATTATGGCGCTAGTGTCGCTATCAGAATGAAATGTTAAGGGAATTAAAACATAAGTTAAACTTTAAAAAACGTAAATATATTTCAAACAAAACATCGACTTCTAAATAGGAATGTAATTGAAACACCACTATAAACGTAACAAAAATAAATTATTAAATAATTATTTGGCCTCCTGTTTATACATTCTTACTAAATTTACACAGAATTAAAATATGGAATATGTTCTTACAAGATTTTGTGCAGTTTTTACAAATACTAATAAGATAGATTTTATACTTTTTATACAATACGAATAAAAATATTGGGTAATATAATTGTCATGTTGAAATTAATAAACAAAAATCCTTGCAGACCTTATAGTAAATTATGCTAAGATGTAAAAACGTCAAATTTACGTGGACAAAACTATTATCAAAAAAATAAATCTCTTACAACTCTCTTGTACAAATAAAACAATTACTTTAAAAAAATAGGTTTTTGTTTTGTTTTTATTGATTTTTTTTTAATAAAATTCAGTCAAATTAAATATTTGCGTGAAATATTATGGAAAGAGCAGTTTTAATTTTTCCAAATATGTTTTTGTAACAGGAAAAAGCAATAATAACTAAAGTATAAAAAAATAAAGATTTTTGTATATGTAAGTAAATAAGCAATCGTTATAATTGGTAGTCACCGGCATATCGCAAATTCATCCTATTTGTAATTTGCCTATGTTGCGCTACGGTTTTAGTTATTTTTTGGCGGCGGATGAATTGTAGCGAAACTTTAAATCTAAACGTATCGTAAATGATAAATATTTACAAAGTGTCGAATTTAGGATGAAATCAATGTGCTAGACAAATTACAAACGGGCGGGATTAGAAATTTACCGGTGACATACAAATATCAGAATCCGTACATAATATTTCAGGCAAGGTGTCGTTTCCTAACTTAACTTCAGTAACTTAATCGTCGGTTGTAAAAATATCCTTATTTCTTCTTTTTCATTTGCTTAGCTTTCTTCTTTTCCTCTCGTTTTATTTCTTTGTCTTTTATTGATTTATACAGCTTGTAGCCGAAGAATACTGTAATAAAAAAAAACATTTATTTAGTTATTATTAGAAATTTAAATATTAATTTTACCGGCGAAGTTAATTCGTGATGAATATTAATGAATAGAATTTAGTTTTTTAAAAAAAAAAAATCAAAATTGAAATTAGTAATTCTTAACCGTTGCAACAATGAACTATCACCATTTTTTACGCTATAAGTATTAAAATATTTTTTCTGTAAACACAATAGATATATGTAAATAAAAGTCTGAAATGTCTGTCGTTACTCAACATAAAATTAATTATGCATTACAAAGTGTTTATAATATAAAGGCTGAAATTTTCACAATCACAAAGTCAAAATTATTTACTAGCAACTACCGCTTCATTAAACATTTTAGAAAAATAGATCCTTGATGCTTAAAGATTTACCCCTTTGTATAATTCTAATACGTACTAGATACAAATTAAACCTACTTACAATACAAACATCATGAAAAAAATTAATCCTACTTTCGACTGCAGATTGTATTTTTTTTTATAATATAAGGTGGCAAACGAGCTAAGGCCACCTGAATCCACCGAAATGGAAAGCGACCGCTGCCCATAAACATCCGCAATTGCAGATGCGTTGCCTACCCTTAATGACGGAGGAGGAGACGCACATATAGAGGGCATTTCTCCTTCTCATGCGTCTCCTCAACCGTCATATCCGCTTTTCCTCCCCATCCTTTCCTCTTAAGAAAAGGGTGGAAAGGGAATAAAATTAGGTATGCTGTTATGTCAAGAAATAGACGCCAGTACAATGAATACAATTTGTGTGGTATGTTCTACAGTTACTTTACACCATTATAACTTTAGCAATCTATACTATCTATACTATTATAATAAAGCGTAAACACTCACTTCATTGTTGCTTATGCTGTTAGCAATTACAGCATGTTTTTGAATACTTTTTTTTTCAACATAAAGCCCTACACTCACGTCATGCTTTAGGCTATATATTTTCACGCCATTAAACTTACGGGGTACATATTTTGGATAAAAACCCTAATGTGGGAAAGAGACCATAAGTAGCTGCCAACATCTAGGTAGCAAGGTTGTCAGTATGTCATGTAATTTTGACATTTGCAATTGATAATTTGACACATGTAAACAATAAAATGATTTTTTCACAATTTCATGCCGATGAAGTCGCATGGGAACAGCTAGTATTTAATAAAATAGACATACCAATAAGTATTAATAAAAACAACGCGGCAAGCCCGTACAATACCACTTGTACATAAATAGCGCGACTGATCGCCGCATCCACTCCGCTCAGATCAAACGGAGTATTATCCAATTTCATCTTCATTTTTGTTGCTAACGCTTCTTTCAATTGATCCGCGAACAAAACTTTCTCATCTTCAGCCATTTCGTTATATTGTTTCATAACACCTTGTAATTTCTCTCTTATTTCCTCGGATTCCTCGTCCTCTGGAGTCATTGCTATGATATTTTGGAGTAATCCTAACACGTCCATATTCTGTAGAGACTCCGACAGCTTGTTAGTGATTGCTTTACCGATCTGAGAGCCTATACCTCCTGGTTGTTCCGCCATTTTCTTTGATGAAAAAAATTAAATTTAAATGTTGCTTTTATTTTAATTTTAGAGTAAAAAAGTAATGCAATTATGCTATAAGTAGATACTAGAGTTGACTCAGTGACTAATGTATAAATATTACTAGCTTCGGACCCGACTCCGTCCGCGTGAAATTAAAAGAAAAGTGAGTCCTCTACTACTATACTAATTTCATTGAAATCCGTTCAGCCGCTAAGACTACAAACTCTAACAAACATCCATCTATCTAAACTTTCGCATTTATAATATTAGTATGAGGTATGATATACTGAGTTAAGAAAATAAATGTTATAATTTTGTAACAATAAAAATATTTATTATAGCAATGAAAATTGATAGAGAAGAGACTTGATGATAATTTACTCGTTTTTACCCTAAATTATTTCAATGTATCTTTGATATTTAGATTTTGTAGTTAGTAACATTAGTAAAGTAGGTAGTTAATCCAAATTATTAGATAAGATTGCGTTTTAACAAACAGGTGAATAAGATAATAATCAGAACTAAAGGAAATTAATTGATAACACTGATTGGAGGGACAGAATACGTATTATTAATAAAAAAAAATATTAACTTAAAAAAAAATCACTACAAAAAAATATGAACGCGTTTTGAGTTTTTAAGATATGTGATTTCGATTCCATCATACTTCATACTAATATTATAAATGCAAAAGTTTAGACGGATGGATGTTTGTTAGAATTTGTAGCCTAAACAACTGGCCGGATTTCGATGAAATTTGGTATAGATGTAGAGGACAGTCTGGAAGAATACATAGGCTACTCATTTCGTTTTTTTTAATTCCACGCGGACGGAGTCGCGGGCGAAAGCTAGTAGATCTTTGTCTCAAAAAGATGGAATTAAGAAATTTTAAAAATATCCATTCACACTTTAGATTAGAACCTTTAGCATATTATTTAGACACTGCACTTAATTTAAAACTATTAATAAAAAAAGCACTTTAATATTTTTTTTTCACTAATTAATAATTAGAATATATCAACTCACCACGTTACTTAGCGAGCACCTTTAGATAAACTGTTTCGTTTAGCGAAGGACACTGATTTATCACCACTATGCAACAATATCGCGGTCGATTTCATTACGTATACATGTCAATTGATAAACTTGCTATCAAATACGATTTTTATACAATTCATGTGATAAAAGCTGAATATCATGTTTTTAACAACACAAAAATAATTGACTTAAACATACAGATATAATATAATACATTAAATATATGTAACGCAAAAAAAAACTATCGTTAGAAAAATACGTAATGAAAAATAGATTTTTTTAGTGAGAAATTCTATTCAAATGACAAGTTCTGTAGTAACCTAAACACGCATCCTAAAAACAATCAGTTTTTTCTTTTTTATCTTAAATAGCAATAGGAATTGTAGTTTCTTTCAACACACGTAATTGGGGAATGATTAACAATTATCAACAAAAATTGTTTACGCGGCTGCAGGCTACGTGTCCTCAACGATTTAAGTCGTTATCAATGTTATGTAAGCTACATTTAACTTTGATAACATAAATCGAACTTAACCTATTTAATTTTAAGATAAATTTTTAAAACTTTACAATTTTATATATGGCATTACTTAAACTACAAATAAACAAAGTAGAATTGAACGATATATCTGATTTATATTCAAATATAAATCAAGCAATAAGTTTACCGAAAGCTTAAGAATGACGTCACAATTTCATGTACCATGTAGTATGTAAAAAACATACAATATTAACAATTATTTCAAAAGTAAATTAACGCCAGCGTAAAATGTGTTCGGTAGAGTGCGAGAACGTTCCCGTGTTCCTGATGTATGGCAAGAGGTCATCGTGGGGTTTTACTCGGTACAAGCCCGACATAACCACTCTAGTGCCCACAAGGATGACATGCGAAGGCATTTCTCCACGTTTAAAAAAGGTCAGATGTGCTGTTAGCTCTATTCATTGGTTCCACCTTATACTCATCTACAAATCGAATAATAATAAAAGTGATTGATTTTTTTAAATTCCCCATTGCTAATGTGTAGTTAACCGCCTGTTAGTTATAAAGACGAACATCGATAATCACGTTTAGAGCGGGCGCACACTTTTGACTAAACTATCCCACAACTGGTTACGATTGTCGATTGTTTTACAGCCTTCAACTGTTTAGTTGCACAACTAAAAAAGTTTGCGCACATATAAGATAATAGGTGTCAGCGCGACTAAACAAATGTGCGATTAGTCAAAGATGTGCGCGTTATATCTGCTACACTTACATAGTACAGCGAAGATGATAAGAACAAACATGATCCCGAGGTATGTTCCACTGCCGTAGCCTCCGAAGAGTTGGGGCACGTTCCCTGATAGCATAGCTCTTAGGTTCTCTTTCATTTCTTCTTCCATCTCCGATTGTTCAAGCATCTCTAGCAACTCTTTTGTTGATGGAGTTTTATCACCATCGACTGTTTTTAACATTTCCTCCAATTTGCTAAGGCTATCCATATCCACGTCCATGATTGCTTACGTTAACTAATAAAAAAGAATAAAAAAATATAAAAAGCAATATACAACTACTGTAGAACCGCGATAACATAAAGCTCGGTAACTTAAAAACCTCTATAACTTCAAAAAATAATATGTTCCCTTCCTACCAAAGCCCAAAACCTCTATAACAGACCCTTGATAACTTAAAACCTCAATAACTTAATATATTTTGTCTTTCCATTAGACTTTAACTTATCTTGTTCTACTGTATAAAAAAACTAAGTTCATTTATCGAACTTAGGGTAGAAAGAAAAAAATAATTTTAAAATTAATTTGTTTGAAAATACAGTTGAGAGAAGAACCTTATAAACGATTTATTTACCATATTTAAATCACAATAAAAGATATACAATGTAAAGTATTTCCATCAAAACATTGATGTTCGAAACTTCTCTTTATGTACACTAATAAACGGACAACAATATATAGGAACATAATCACGTTTATAAACAAAAAGACTTATTTAAAAATCGTTAATTATTAAATTAAACACATTAAAAGCACTTTAAAAAGATATATAATACTTACTGTAAAATAAACCAATGTTCAATCTCAAAATATTATTCACGAAAACCAATCGATATCGTACACACGTTACATAACACGAATGCAGGCGGACACACCGGGAGCCACTTCGCTCTTATCCATTATCTTTGGCCCATAATAAAATAAATAATACGTGTCGATACACGTGGAACAACGATGTGCGTGCCGTGTGGTACAAGTTATAAGCTATTAATCTAAGAATTTTTTACTAATAAATACTTAATCATACGAAAATTATAAATACGAAAGTTTAGGCGGATGGATGTTTGTTAGAGTTTATATAGCCTTAACGGCTAAACGGATCTGGATGAAATTTGGCATATGTAGAACATAATCAGGAAGAACACATATGCTACAAGCTTTTGTTTTTTTATTTACACGCGGACGGAGTCGCGCGCGAAAGCTAGTTATGACACAAACTGTAAAGAAACTTGAGGTTTTAAATTAATTACAAGATCCTTATGTATGAACTTTCCAAAAAACCAGACCTACTCATGCCAAAATAAAGATTAGAATACACTTGGAGGGGGTAAGCAGCAGTGGGTTTAGGTTTCTATGAATTCTGTTACTATGAGATTTTTATAAAAACTTGTTAAATTTCTTAATAAATTTTGCTAAAAATATAAAACAGATATAAAAAATACTTCAAATAAAATCATAATAATGATAGTTTCCCCCTAAACATAGCCTAAATTTTTTTTATAAGAGAAAGAGGCAAACGAGCGGTGAGAACACAGAGGTGGTCAACGTTGCACATGGACATCCACAACACCAGAAGAACTACAGATGCATTACTGGCCTTCAAGGAAATTGTAGGCTCACTTCTTAAAGAACCCTAAGTAGTATTGGCTGACTACGCCTAGGTGTATTGCAAACACTGTCTGCTCACTCATCTTTATAATAATTATGCATACATTGTGCATACAGGGGTGATGAGAAGTTAAGGACTCAAGCCTTAAATAATTGTTTTACCATTTAAAAATCTCAATAATTAGAACTGTAAGCTATATATTAGATGCCTCATTCTACATCGCTCACACTTCTAACTTGTACCATAAACAATAATTATATTGTCTTTTTACAGCTGTGTATACATGTCATATTTTATAAATTGCACATTTTGATTATTATATTAGTTGATAGAAATGTAAAATTTCAGTTAAAATATTACTAGACACAGATTCACAAACATACCTAAACATGTGGCTTGTGTATTGTTTATTTTTAACCTGAAAATTCACTATATAACCTTGAAGGCTATATATTATCTCTATTCCCTATTAGTAGCTTCACAGATAATAAGAAATTAAATACAAATATTTTGGCAATAGAAATTAACAATGTCTTCTGTTATTTGTTTGTTGTAAGTGAGTTTAGCAAAAACAAAACAACAATTTATTTTTAATTATATTTATTACCTTTAGAACATTACATTACATTCATAATAGTATTATAAAGAGGAAAGATTTGTATTTTTGTATATATTGGAATAACTTAACAACTGGACTGATTTCAAAAATTCTTTCACCATTAAAAAGTTTCATTATCACTGAGTAATATAGGCTATATCTTTTTAACTATTTCAAAATTTCACGTAGACGAAGTCGCGAGCAACAGCTAGTCATAATATAATTTCAACATGTTGATGTCTTATCCACTATTTAGTGGATAAATAAATTTACAGATTATATAAAGATATTAAAGCAAGATGTATGTATAAATTGTCAAAACGGTGATAGTTCAGTGGGTAGACATTAAAAATGAGTCGAATGTTTTAATCAATAAAAGAAACATTAAAAATTTTCTTCACTGTTATTTAAGTGAAAATATTGCTACAGATTATCGATAATGTTCCGAATTACATTTAGAAATAAATAATGAGATAATACAAGTAATTTTTTACCTGTTAAGCTGGTTACCACTATTCCTGGTATGATAAATACGGAGTTTGAGAATGCATGTTCCAATGGCCCGTCTTGGCCCCCACTTAGATCCACCATAGTTAATATTTAGTTTTAAATAGAGAATACTGTAACGGTTCTAAATAATATAAATAATCAGATCATTAAGTTGAGATACATTATTTGTTTTCTTTTTAGAAAAGCGGCAAACAATGTTATCTTTCAATAACAAAACGAACTGTCATTTTTCTGTCAAGTGTCAAAATCAATATTTCATTTTTATTGTCGACGTTAGTAAAATGGTATTGCCATGTGAAAATATTTAAATATATTTGAACTATTCGCTGTTACTAAGCTAAAAAAATAGTAAAGACAATATATGAACTGACTTGTAAGTAATCGCACCATCTTATTCAGTTGCTTGTTAGTTTACGAATCTTTAAACATATGGGTGTCGACTCTTTTCTTTTTTTTATTATTACTCTGTCCTTATCCCTCTTACATAGGATCAGCGCAGGTGTACTCCAGGATCGATTTAGTTCTCTTTGTCATATTTTTCGAAAAGAACTCTATTTGATGTGAGTTAATTATGAGTAACGGGTGTAAATAAAATATCGAGCTATAAACACTAATTTTATTTATCCAAATACACAATTATGTATATCTTTTGGCCTTATGAGTAACATTAGTGTACACAATACCTTAAACACATTTCCACTAATGAGACAGCAATACAACATTTTATTACGAGCAATAATATACACATTTTATTTTTTTTCCTTAATAATTAAAAGAGTAAAGGTGATATTCCACTGCTGCGATACTTCAGTGAAGACATTTTGTTTTCTTTGTTTTTTCATACAGAATGAGAGAGAAAACAATATGTCTCATCACATCAGTCGAAATATACCGGAATAGTTATCAATATAAAAAGTTCATGGAATGTGATGACCCTAAGCTTCAATGCCATTCCTATACAATTTGTAAAGTCTTGTTGAATTTCATTTTATATACAAATATATGAGTTTTCATGATTTGGTATTATTCATATATCAGTCGTTTTTGAATAAATTCACGATGTGTAATTTTTATTTGAAGTCCCTCAACTTGGAAAGAATTATCACAGAATAATCTGAGGCGATCTTCAAACACGTATTTTTTTTAAATCTGTCCGAAAGATGTTTTTACACTTTTATTTTCTTATTATGTTTATAATAATTTTTGGATACTTAAAGGCACTTTAGAATGACATTGAGCATAAATTTCAAAAATATATAACCAATATAATCTTATAGTAAAAATATTAGTAATGTTTCGTCACATTACCAGTTATGATATCGAGATTCTTATATAAGCTAAAATAAGGATATATAAAAGTTTTTTTTTAGTTAGATATACTATATTAATATTATCTACTATCACGGATTCAGCAAATACCTTTTGTAACCAACAACATGGCAACACACACTTTTAAAAAATACGTCATCGTTTTAGTTCACACAATGCTTAAAATTATTCTTTTTTATTATTAATCCATAATATTTTACCGAAAAATATTGCATTCATTTATACTAAATTGTGTGAACTAAGTCGAGGATTGTTATTGTCTAGACTTTTGCCTATATTTTATTTTTTTATGGATGATCTTTTCTTAATTCTTCTTCAGGGGATCCAAGTTGTCTATTGAAAAATCTTCGTTTCCAAAACTGATCCCTCGGCTGAATCCATCCTGTGGACAGAAAATACACATTTTATTGATGAATTTCATGAAAATTTAATTTCGATATTTTGATTTGTTTTCTTTTTTAATCCTTATTACTTATTTTTTACCTATTGTTATAATTGCAAAGTAATTCAAACAATTTATTTGAGTAAATAAATTCTTTACCTAAACTTACCAGTCATTAATCTGTTAAGAATTAAAAAAAGTAAAATTAATATGTATATTTTAATAAATACTCTAATATTTACGATTTATGAATTGATATTTGAAATCTGTTGGAAAACATTTGAAAATAGAATTTATTGAATAGAAACAATAAAGCCAAGAAGAAAAAAAAAATAGAAAAAACGTGGGTTCCAAATTCAAAAATTTATTAGAAAATAATGGTAACTAACCTTCATCTCTGAAATAGTCTTGTCTAAGAATCCGTTGAAGCTGCTATCAAGTTCCACAGTTTGTTTTTCGCTTAAATTCCCGAATCCGTTGAAAGTATTACCGAAACCATTACCGAAGATATTACCGGTCTTCTGCGTGTCGAACGGATCGTATCCGGTTAATCCATTCGTGAACGTATTGGAGTTAAACACCGATGTTTGTAAATTAAAGTCGCTTATATCGTAATTAGGCTTGTTAGTATTTTGTACTGTGAACGGAGATGTTGCGACTGTTTGATTCGGGATAGAAAATGGCGTGGAACCGAATAAATCGCTGCCGTTTATTGGTGACATTTGTTGTTGTCCGTTTATGGGTGAAGCGACTTGTTGAGGCGATTGGCGCTTCGATGCTTTAGGTGGTGGCGCCACTGGAAAATTAAAATATTTCTTAATGACGTCACAAAACTGTATTTTCTAAAAAAATATAAACAACCAATCAGTAAAAGATAAATTAAAGTGTTTCTTTCTATTTTATTATTGCAATATACAGTATATTTTTATTTTATTTTTAGTACAATGGATTTTTAACCAAAAGTGGTCGAGAAAGTAAAAGTTTAGTGTGGTAAATTCATATGATGTGACAAGAGATGCATAAACTAAAAAGTGTTAAGTTTGAATGTGAATGGCTATAAATATAGAGGATGACTGAAGAAAATTTAGATGGATTGTGTGGATAAGGATATGCTTAAGGAGGGAGGGTGTGGATTCAGATACGACGGTTGACAGAAATGGATGGAAGAGCAGCACATACTGTGCCGATTTCTGGGTACAAGGGCAAGTTGATGGATTTTTAACCGTAACGAATTTCTAGTATTATAATGATTTAATATTATTTGACTTACACAATGGCGGCGCGGCAGTGGGCGGGGCTTCAGAGGGCGCGAAACGAGACGCGGGCTCAGACTCGAACGCGCGAGGATCGAAATCTGTGAAAATAAAGAGATACATTTTATATTTTCTTTTTAAAGATATTTTAGTGTTAAAAAACTAACAATCTTCAGATTTACATTATGGAACTATCAATATTCTATACTATTTCCACTAATCGGTGGGAGATGCGCAACTTTTATAGAAGTCGTAGTCGCGCCAGTGGAAATAAAGGACAAGAAAGCTGAAGTGTTTATTTATATTATAAAACTAGCTTTCGCCCGCGACTCGTATGACTCGACGAGACGTAGAATTAAAAAAAAACATCAAAATCCGTTTAGCAGTTTAGGCTACAAACTCTTACAAACATCCATACATCAAAACTTTCACATTTATAATATTAGTAATATACTTACCGCTATCGGAATCAGAGTTGAGAAGAAGTCCTTCCAGCTTCGTGCCTACTACGGGGTTTTTGCTTGACAGATCACCAAGGAGTTTACTGTAATAAGAAAAATAAATCATAATTATGCTGATACTTTAACTTCTATATAAAGAAATATGTATTAGAATGAAATTGATTAATGTAGCAACAGGTGTACTGTGAGATGACAGCTATGATGACGTCACAAGTCTTACCCAGTAGCGAGGCTGGGCTTGCCGTTGTGCGCGGGCGGCGGCGTCGCCAACAACAAATTGTTATCGCTGGAGTTGAACGTGTCCGTTGAATTGTTGGACAGTGCATCCCCACCTGAAAACACATTTTATTGTTACTTATATGCATATCGTTGTCTCTTGTTTTTACAAGGCGTTTGAGATGGACAAAAACAATTTACCTAGTATCAAGTATTCATGATAAATTATCTTACCATTATCAGGAGTTTTGTTTCCATTCATCGCACTGAATCCATTCGCGAGAGTGAGAGAGGCGATCTGTTTGTCCAGCTCTTGCGGAGCTTTGAACTCCGTGATATCTGAGAGGCTGTTGCGTGCTAGGTATGCTGAGAGATCGTCTTTATACGTTATCTTTGATAACTCCTGGAAAAATTACCTTTTTTAAGTTTTTAAATACAATTGAGATTTTTATGAGAATTTAAACAAAAACATAGAAATTAATAATCATTGAATTGTAACACTATATTCACATTTTCATACAAATATTATAAAAATGTGATAGTTTTAATGTTTGTTAACTATGTTGTTTGTTATCTTTAAAGTGACTTCACTGATCTCGATGAAATTTAACACAGATGTAGAATATAGTCTGGAAGAACATATGTTCAGTAAGTTTTAATTCCGTGCGGACGAAGTAGCAGGCAAAAGTTACTTAGTAAATAAATGAACTTACTTGTAACCTATTCTTGTAAATGTTCATCTGTAGTTCCAGCTTTCTATTCTGCAGCGTCAGTTTTTGCATCTCAATGTACTTCCCGTTGTCGTTTAGGAACCGCCTGGAAATTCATAATTGCAAATTACTAAAGTTTAATTATTTATTGTTTAGTGTTTGTTCTACAAAAATGTAACACAAATATTACTTTGGTACTTATATAAGGATATAATAAATAATAGACCCTATTATGGTACAGCCGCGGAAATCCGAAGTGTTTTCTAGGAACGAGTCAATACCGTCCTTTCCTACAAATTAGATAGCAGTTTTTTTTGTGTCAGTTGCCACTGTTTGCCTCGAAAAGGTATTTACAGATTCATCGCGCTTGAGGTGGCCGAGCGCAGATGGCTCATAGCCCAAACCTTCTTTATAACTAGGCTTGAGTGCTCCCTCAGGAGCCTCGGCTCGGGCCGTTATTTTGTTAATGCAGTGAGTGGTACAAAATACACACGAAGGGATAATAATAAAAACTAGCCAAGTATTATTAACACTTTTTTTCGTACAGACACATTTATAATCTGCGTTGTATTTTTGTTTCGTGTCTCGTTTTAGAATGTTTGAAAATGAATGACACACCGCCATCTGCCGCGACTGTACCCAAATATTGACAACATAATTTAAAAAGGCGTTTGAGTCGTTTTCTTTACGAGCTCATTTTTTAGTAATACTAGATAACGTTATATTGTTTTTTAAAGTCTTGTATTTAACTTTACATTATTGGATTAAATGTTTCTTACGTATAAGAAATACGAAAGTCTTGTGTAAACATTAGTATCACGCAAGTGACTACATTGTATGAAGAGTAGCGTATAAAGATAATTACTTTCCATTTGCACAATATACATTAAAAGTATATATAATGTATGGATAATAAATTATTGTAATAATATAATCGCAATTAATAGTTCGTTACTATTTATTTCTATGGCTCTGCCAAGCCCCCACAATATCCTATTTATTTATTTTTTAAATGCGTCAAAATTAATAATATAATTCAATTAACAAAATAAAAAGAAAAAAAGGTTAAAGATCTCATAGGCCCCGGCGAGATTCGAACTCGCGATCTCCTGTTTACTAGACAGGCGCTTTAACCAACTAAGCCACGGCGCCGTGTTGACAAAGTACTGAAAATAGGCACCTAATACCATCTTGTCTGAATTACCACTACAGACATCGTCGGTGTTATTTTTATCATTTTTATTTAACCTATTACTATGATAATGCACTTTTAAATAATCTAAATCATATAAACTAACCTGTATGCTAAATCGAAAGCTTGTCCGATAGTAAGTGTGATCTCTGAAGCTAGTTTTGTTGACACAAACACGAAGCATTCGTGTTTCTCAACATTGCCGCTGTCATGGCCGTTCACACCGTTGACAGTGCTGCCACCTTTCGCGATGAAGGAGAAATACTTTTTGGCGCCTTTATCGTCCGCGCAATAGGATATCCGATGCAGCGGGAATTGGTATAAAATGTTGTTCGATCTTGGCTCCTGAAAATTAAAAAAAAATTTTAGCAAAGTAACTGATGACTGTCAAATTGTCTTTTTAACGATTGATTTAAGGAGTTCCTTAGTAGAAAAATCTACGCTAAGGCTTAAATAACGATTTGACATAACTAAGAATGGTTGTAGTAATAATGTACTATACTTTGGAACTATGTATTACTATTGGAGGTTATTGTCTATTCTATTACGTGTGTCTATGGTATAGGGTAGACAATAATGAATTAAAACGCCCCGTCTGGAAGTCTTCAGGGCATATCACTTGACGTCACGCTTTCCAGTCATGCCGTGCAAAGGTCGCTGGTACCGGGGAAAAGAACTTTCTGTAATATTGTATCATTATGTTCGGAATACTGACGCCTATCATACTTATTTTAACTTTTACTATTGGTTTTTCTATAAAAAGAATAATACATGTTGTCACTTTTATTCTTTCTAGAAATGAATGGATTAAAGGCTTGGGCAGACCGAGGATCAAGGAGGGCTAGTAAAAAAACAATTTTTTATTCTAAAGAGAACGCGAATTTTGAGTTTTTTATATGAGGTTTCAGGGATTATAGGCACCATACTATTTTAAATCTATATATTTAGTTGCTTACGCCCGCGACTCCGTCCGCGTGGAGTTAAAGAAAAATTTAACAGCTTATGTGTTCTTCCAGACTATCTATTACATCTGTGACAAATTTCATCGAGATCCGTTCAGCAGTTTAGGCTACAAACACCAATAACATCCATCAATCCATAAACTTTCGAATTTATAATATTAATACGATATTAGTAAGATTTTCGACTATCTAGAGGGGGAGCTTGGAGTCATGTTGAGGTGGAGTATGTTGATATTAACAGGGACATGACTTTAAATTCATTTAAGTGTTGAAACACAAGGAAGTGTGCACAGTATTTGAGGCGAGAGATGTCGCCTCATCAGCA